GCGAGGCCCTGGCCAGCCGCCGCCGCCCGGGGCTGAGGCTTCAGAGCAAAGTGCGAGAGAACCGCCTGGGCTGCCGCACGCTAAGGATCGCGACGGTCGGGAGGCGTCCACGCGGCCGGCGGCCGAGAAGTGTCTTGCTGAGTAAAACCACCCGCGGGGCCCGCGATGTGGCCACGTCTCCACGTTTCCCGTTTCCCGTCACGGTGTAGGCTGCAGTCCGGCTAGCAAGAGCCTCGGGTCAGAGCAAGCGCAGCTGTCTGGCCACAGCGCGGCCCGCCGGGACGCCCCGCTCTGACCGCCCGGCCGCAGGGCTGCGCGGGAGATCACGGGCGCGGAAGCATCCCCGGAGCGCTCAGCGCGGAAGTCGGCACGTCCACAGGGCCACTTCCCGAGGTACTTCGAGCGACTTCGTGTAGTCACGTTTCAGACATTTCTAGGAAAAAGTACCAAAACGCACGCTGTCCTCTTCTGCTCTTGGAGAGCGCAGGTCCAGAATCACGTCAGCGCGTAAGTTCTCCTGGCTGCTCGCGCGCGCCCCAGAATAACCAGGGGTCACTGCGGAAACGCCCCGCGCCTGTCCGCTCACGCCCGGCCAGGTCTCTGCTCCCCGGGCCCCACCGGGCCACACCCCGGCCATGCTGGCCCCGGCGCCTCGGTTAGCCAAAAATGACTGTGGGCTGTTTTCGACCTTATCCGTCCAGAACTTCGTCACCCCCTGCTAGTGCGGGTGAGGCTTGGCCGGCATTTGAGTTTTCCCCTCGTCCATTTTGTCTTCACTCTATTTTAGAATCTATAAAAAACCGAAAACATTCAACGGTTTTCATTGCAAGTTTTGTTGTTTGAAAATTCTTTGCTGCTATAAATATGCGTTAAATAAATGAAAAAACACAATTGAAATGACTCCCAGCACGCTGTGCTTTAAGGACAACTACCACACACAGTTTCAGAACAGCCGAACGAAACAACAGTTCTGCAACTGAACCAACCCGACCCCACTCCACAAGGCGGGAGGATGCCAGCGCTCGCTGCTCCCCGCCAAACGCATCCTGCGCGCTGCCGACGCCGCCAGTGGTTCAAGCTGTTTCAGAAACCTGCAGCTCAGTTATTCAAAGGACAACGAAAACCTTATTGTAAAAAAGGGATGGAACTTTCCAGTATTTGATTTCAAACACGATGTTCATTTTCCTTTTCTTCTCTGAAATATCAGGTTAGAGACTTCTCCAGGCGTCTGGCTCGCAGCTCCGCGGGAGGCGAGGCGCAGCCACGCGAAGGTGCGGCCGGCCGGCCGGGCGGCGCTGTCGCCAGTGAAGTCTCAGCAACTGCAGGTGCCCTGGCGGCCCGGCCCAGCGCCCCAGTGCCAAGCCTGCTGCCTCCCGCTGCCCCTCCGCAGCGGTCTCAGGGGACCCGCCTGTCCTGCGCCCCACTGTCGCTGGGGCTCCTGCCCGCGTGCTGTCCCCCCACCCCTCCCTCTTGGGCGGCCCCCCTCATTTTCTGTTTCAAAGACTTATTTGGGGTCTGCACGGGCCCAGCTGGACAGGGCAACCGCCAAGCGCGCTGCCAACTTACCGGGAGCGCGCACGCAGTGACCCGCGGTGAACTGGGAGGGAAGGGCCGGCGGGGTCGCTGCCCCGCGGTCACCTGGAGGCGCTTCCCGGAGACGCCTGAGGCCTCGCTGCGCCCCTCAGCCCCGTCGCCCCGGGTGCCTCCCACCAGCGCCCTCGCCCAGGGCTCAGCTCCCGTCCGCTGAGTCCAAGCCCCGACCTGCT